CACCCTCTCCCTCGAGTCCTGCTGACTGCAGGAGCTGACATGGAAACTGTTTGCAGGACAGAAGGGCACAGCAGGAGCCCCTGGCATCACACAGCACCTGCCTTTTCAGCTGTGAGTGCTTTTTTTGGTGCAGTTTTGGGGTTTTTTGTTTCCGAGCCGATGCAGAGATGCACGAAGTGATTACCACTCTAACTATTGGGGTGGATGCTAGTCTCATCCTCCTTTTCCATGCTCCAGCTCCCCCAGCTCCCTTGGGAAGGGGAGAAGTTCCAAGCCTCTTTTTCAGTACCTTCTAAAAACACAGAGCCTGCGATAAGCACGCAGCAGTTAAAGGAATGGGGCTGAAATCTTCACAGAATCAGGGATCAGTGGATTGCCTTCCCCCCTCAGCCACCCCAGCCCGGCTCTGGCTGATCATCCACAGCTCCAAGCACTTGGAAGGGTCAAAACCCAACCAAACCAAGCTGCACTCATTGCTCTGAGCCCCCAGTGCTGTGGTGATTGAATAAGCAGTGTCAGGTCAGGGTCATCAATTAATTTGGCACCACAAGAAACAATGACATGAAATTTGCTTTATTGGAGGCTGGCTGGAAAGAAAAATGGCTCTAAATATGTCTGAGGCTCAGGACTGCACATCTCTGCTGTCATTTCTCAGAGGTCTTTTAGCAATCCCACACCTGGGGTCCTTTCTTATGAAGTATTACAATCTTTGAAGAGATCACTTTGTTTGCCAGCAGGAAAACCCACAGTAATGGCATACAGAAGGAATTTTAATATCTTTTTAATTATTTTTAGATGCACACTTACACTTCCATCAGAGCAGGAGATGGAAAGGCTGGAGGGAGTGAAAAGCCCTGCTGGAGCAGAGGGATGGTGGTGGCTGGGGATGAGATCCCCCTCTGTCCCAGGCTGAGGTGTGATGTGGTGCCCCCTGATGCAGTCCCCTTCCCTCCCAGGCCGGGGAGAGGATGAGACCCCCTGGATGTGATCCCCTCCCTCCTTCCCTGTGCCACAGGGACACAGGACAAGCTGGCAGTGCCACCTCCAGGACCCCTCTGCCTCATCAGCCTCATCCCAGGCTGTCCCCAGCCCCTTCCAGCCTCTGTCCACAGGTGAAAAACCCAAGCCAGGGCACTTGAACTACTCCAGTTCCTCCAGAATTGACTCAATTCCAGCCCAGTGACTTCGGCAAAGCCATCACAGATTTACACCAGCACCAAAGAACCAAACTCCCCAAGCCCAGCACATCCAAATTAATGGAGTTTTGGGTATTTTGCTCAGGCTGATCCAGATCTGCCCAGCTGTCAGCAGGAACAGCTGGGCCACTGGTGGGACCAGTGCAGCTCTTTGGGGCTGCTGGAGCTCATTAAGCAAAATCCTAAATCAGGAACTTTTCCACTTTTCACTTTCTCTCATCCCCTCTCTCCCTAAATATCTTTTTATTCAAAGGACTTAAAAACCTACAGCAAAGCAAGAAAGGTAAGGAGTGGGGAAAAAGGAGTGTGAATTTAATGCCAGCCCCAGAGCATTGGGGAAACACCTCCCTGGTAAAATTTTGATGGTCTAAAGCCACAAGCACCTTGATTTTAAATCCTCTGGATAACATATGACAGCTCATCAATACAAACTTTCAGCACAACTGCTAAAATATAGCAGCATATACACCATAAATTGTAAAATATATATATATATATATAGTGTATGGACATAATATAATGTCCTAAATAGCAAGGCTGATAAAAGCCAAGTGAGCTCTAAAAATATGGCAGACAACACAAACTTCTCCACTTACCCCATAATTCAAATGCTGGTGATCTTTTGCTAAAGTGCACTCATGAATGCTGCAGTGATGGAGCTGTAATTGTAATGGAGTCATTTAATTTGGATTTGGATGGAGCAGCCGAGCTCAGAGCAGACAAGGCACAAAACTCCCATGCTCATGTAAAGGTTAAGGAGCTTGTCATGAAGAGAATTGATTTGGAGTGCTGGGCTAATCGTGTGGGTGAAGTCAGAATGCCACTTTTTATCTAATTTACGCTGCAAACATCTGCAAACACCAGTGCAGTGTGACAGGCCAGCAGTGAGTTTTGAGCTGGGACATCACACAGGTCACTTAGCCCAGTGGTGTGGCAGTTCTCATCTGCTGCCACGATTCACTTTGGCTGAAAATCCCAGGAGTGAACAGAAATTGCTGCTACCCCACTGCCAGCATCCTCGAGATCCTCACGGAAAGGCAACAGAGCCACCACGGCTTGAAAAAAGAACACAGTGGCTCATCCAAGGCTGCACAAACAAATCCAGACACTGCATTTATTCCCTGCCCTGCCTGAGCAGCTGCCACAGCCACAGCCGGGCACCGCGGGCACCCCGGCGGGCACCGAGCGCTCCGTGGCTCGGGAAGTTTGTCACGCTCAGCCCGGGAGCTTCCCGAGCCCCGGGAAGGAGCTGTGCCAGGGGTGTGAGCACAGGGATGACAGCAGGGCTGCCTGCAGGACGGTGCAGGATGGATGGGCAGTGCTGCAGCAGCCGGAGCATCGCTGCGCACGCAGGGACCAGAGCTGAGTCCCATCAGACACATCCAGCCCCTCCTCTGGAGCTGAGAGTGTCTGAGAGATCAGCCACACAGCCAGGGGCTTGTGTTAGCAAAGCTAACTCTCAGCTCTCTCTGTTTGATCCCAAACACAGAGTGAGCACCAATTCCAGGACCAAACCCAGCTCTGGTTTATCACAGAATGTTCCGATTTGGAAGGCGTCACAAGGATCATCGAGTGCAACTCTGGAGTGAACAGCAAGAAAGGGATCAAATCCCCAATTCTGGAGTTGTGAGCACCAAGCTCTGACCAAGGGAGCTGATGTTTGGTGTTCCCTCTCCACTGCCCCACTGCAGGGCAGGCCAGGAGCCGCCGGTGGGGAGGGCAGGACACAGCGAGGTGGCTCTGCCTCAGAGACCAGACCACAGCCAGGTGCCTTGGCAGAGCTGCCAGTGCCCCGGATCCAGGTTTCAAGGGGAAGCAGAGAGCACAAAATTAACCCACCCATCACCACCTCTTGTCCCTGAAGCTCTGACACTCTGAATGACACCCAAAACATCACACCGAGGTATTTGTACCTTAAACCTTCAAATGCTGCCCTTGAGCATCGCTAAAGGCGATCTCTTCATTTCCCCCCTCCCAAATGCAGCATCTGAGGGCAAATTAACACTTGGTTCATTTTAGAATCTCCCAAGGATTTATCAGAGCCGTACTGTAAATCACTCCGCCGCTCTTCCCAAGCAAAATGTTTCCACCACCACGACGTGGGTCACAAAAACCCTTCCCAGACGAGAAAAGAACCCAGGAGCTCAAGAAGGTGCCAGCACAGGGCAAGTGATGAATTTGTTGCTGAAAGAAGTTCAGCTCACAAGAAGACAATTTCTAAGCTGCTTTTTCCTATCAGAGCATATTAACAAAAAATAGCTCTTGGCAAGCCATGTCCTCCAGGAATTATTTCTGTGCAGGAAGCACTTAGTTTCACTCAAAATTAATAATGTCTAAAAGGCATCAATTACATTATATTAGAGAACAAATAGAAAGTGATGTGAATTACCCGGCAGAGTGGAATGAATTGGAGATGAAGTCATGGAGTAGAGCACTCCTGACACCTGGTTCCTCTCCATCCCAATGCCACAACAAAATATGTGGGGGTTGCAATCTCCAAGCCACGGAATTGCACACTAACAACTGCAAGCTTACCCTGCTGTTGTCCTATCATTCAGAACAAGAGGAAAATAATTCCTACAAACCTTTCCTCTGCTCTCAGGATTACCAGGCACTCATTTCCAGCCTGGAAGTCGTGCCCTTGCCCAGGGCACTGATTTAAAGCCGGGGCAGGGAACACACAGGTCGGCAGGGGAGAAGTGTTCAAAGCTGTGCAAGATAAATGTGCTGTCAGAGGAAGGCTCCACATGGAACAGGCTCCCAACAGAACCACTTTAGCTTATTATGGAAAAATTAAAGCACAAACAGCTGGAAAACAGCCTTGTCACGCCAGATCCCAGCTCTCCATACGCCGCCTACAAATTGCTGCTCTAAAAGTCGATTCTCCAGCTCGATAGGTTTGTGCCTCGGGAACATTCCGAGCAGAGCCCACCCGCCACAAGATCAGCTCTGGGGATGGCTGGGGACACTCAGACCTGGATTTGCCTGAGAATCCCGTATTTCAGGGGAAAACTCCACAGTTTATGGAGTTCTCTCCCCACATTAAAGCTTTTATCAATAGCCCCCGTGCTGTTATGGGCTACAACAGGTCTCCGGGGCATGTGGAGCCGTGCTGGGAGAGCGGAGCCCTCAGTTCAGTTGTGTAACCTTCTCCTTCTCCCCCTGCAACATTCAGAGGGGAGTCGGGGGTCTGCTCCTGCCTCGGTGTGTGTGTGTGGGGGGGGGGGGGTCTGTTCTGCTCCTCCGTGCCTCAGTTTCCCCATCTTTGCGAGGAGAAACCCACTAGAGCGGCTGGAGTACATCCCTTAAAACGCGGCTCACGCAGATTTCCATCTTCCACGAGCTTCCCAGGCTGCGGGCGAGCCACGAGCGGGCACCGCCGCGTTTCCGAGGCGCGACAAAAGCGCAGGACGAGCCTGTCGTGCCCGGAGCCATCCCGGCAAACCCGGTCCCTGCCGTGGGCGGCACCGCTATTGCCGCCGCAAACTTCCCGGCCGGGCTCCGCGCACGGCGGGTCCCGGTGTCACCGGCGCGATGCAACCGCGGAGCGGCTCCGCTCCACCGAGGGCTGCGGGCTCCGAGCGCCGCGTCCCGGACAGCGGCACCGGCGGGCTCCGGTGCCACCGGCTGGCGGGGAGGGACGCGGATGGACGGGGCGCACGGGGATAAGACCCAGGGAGGGAAAGAGGGAAAGGAGGAGCGGACACGGACCAAGAGGCAGAGCGGGATGGGGCGCGCAGCAGAGCTCGGGACACGGCGGGATGGAGGAAACATCCCCCGGAGCGCGGAGCGGAGCCGCCTTACCTTGACGGCCTCGGCGTGGGTCACCCTGTCCAGGGACTTGCCGTTGACCCCCAGGATCTGATCGCCGACGCGCAGCCCCTCCCGCTCGGCCAGAGAGCCGGGTTCCACCAGCGACACGTAGATGCCCACGCCGTGCTCGGCGCCGCCGCGGATGCTGAAGCCCAGACCCTCGTGGGCTTTGCTCCGGCGCAGCGTCACCTGCCGCAGCTCGCCCGGGACCACCGGCGGCGGGGCGGGGGGCGGCGGGGGGCGGCCGGGCGGCGGCAGGTAGGGCCCCTCGGCGGTGTATTGATCGAAGAGGAGCTGGTCGGAGCGCGGCAGGACCAGGCGCAGCAGCGGCAGCAGCTGCCGGCGGCGGGGCCCGTCGAGGAGGGCGCGCAGGGAGCGCACCAGGTCGCAGACGTTGCGGCGGCCGTGGTAAGCGTTGAGGCAGAGGATGAAGCGCTCCCGCTCCGCCTCGCTCAGCAGCGCCGTGAGCGCCTGGTGCAGCCGCCGCACGTTCGCCGAGAGCGGCCGCGGCGCCGGCCCCGCCGCCGAGCCCAGCGAGCCCGACGAGGAGGAGGAGGAGTGCACGGACACGCCGTCCAGCTCCGCGCTCATCGCCGCGGCACCACTACCGCACCGGGATGGAGCGGAGCCGGGCAGGGCAGGAGCGGAGCCGGGCGGGGCAGGAGCGCAGTGACTCCCCCGGGTAGTGCCGGTGCCGGTGCCGCTCCACCTGGCCGTGCCCGCCGTTCCACCTGGCCGTGCCCGCCGCTCCACCGGGCCCTGCCCCGCCGCTCCACCTGGCCGTGCCCGCCGCTCCACCTGGCCGTGCGCTCGCCCGCGGCTCCCCAGGAAGTGACGATGCCGCCGTTGCCGGGAGACCGGTTATACAGAGCGGCCCCGGCGGCGGGACCGGACCCCCCCGCCCCGCCCCAGCGCCCGCCCTCGCGGGACCCGCAATTAGCGCGTCCGCTCATCAGCGCTCAGCAGCGCGCCGGGCCCTGCCCTGCCCGCAGCGCAGGGTGGAAAGTCCTGGATTTGCCTGAGAACCCCGTATTTCAGGGGAAAACTCCACAGTTTATGGAGTTCTCTCCCCACATTAAAGCTTTTAGCGAGAGCCCCCGTGCTGTTATGGACTACAACAGGTCTCCCGAGGTGGAGCCGTGCTGGGAGAGCGGAGCCCTCAGTTCAGTTGTGTAACCTTCTCCTTCTCCCCCTGGAACATTCAGAGGGGAGTCGGGGGTCTGCTCCTGCCTCGGGCACGATGCAGCCTTCCTCAGCCCTCCCGGGATGGATCGCGGCCATCCCAGAGCTGCCGCAGCTTCCCTCCATCCCGGCACGGCAGAGGACACGGGGCACGGATCGGTTTACACCTGAGAACGGCACACGGAGCGTTACCTGAGCCGCGGGTTGTTTTTCCATTGCCCGGCGTGCCAGGTGTGGGATTGTTGTTACCGCACGGTAACTGCTGAGTTATGCTGGGGATGCACCCGCTCAGCTCAGCACAGGCTTTGTTTTCATCACACCTCAACGAAATTCACCCACATCTGCTACTGACAGGGTGTTGAAGGGATCTATGATCGGGGGAGCAGCTTTTAAAATGGATAAATTTAGATTAGATCTTAGAAAGAAATTGTTCTTAAGAATTGAGTGAAGGTGGCAGGCCCTGGCACAGGTGCCCAGAGCAGCTGTGGCTGCCCCTGGATCCCTGGCAGTGCCCAAGGCCAGGCTGGATGGAGCTGGGAGCACCTGGGACAGTGGAAGGTGTCCCTGCCATGGCAGGGGGTGGGATGAGATGATCTGTAGGGTCCCTTCCAACCCAAACCATTGTGTGATGTCACGTTTGGAGTCCACCCCAAACTCCCAGCAATTAACTCCTCATTTAGCAAACACAAGCAGGACAGAGAAGCCGTACCTGTGAGGGATCCTGGTGGTCCAGATCCCACGATCAAGAAGCTGGCAGGGCCTCAGGCACACAGTATTGCAAACCTGGATAGGTGGGATTCAGGGAATCACGTTCCCACCTCCTGCACAGATAGCCACCCTCTTCTCTGCCTCCACATCCAGAACTTGTGACCTCAGACCCAAAAGAGAATCATCAGGAATGAGTGCAGAGATCCAGGAACTGCTTTTCTGGTTGCTGGATGAATTATTTCTTACTACATGAGCTTTGCGTTTCTTTTATATCTCTGGAACACCTGAGCAAGACCATTTTCCATCTCAGTCATTTGAAATCTTTCTGTCTTTGTTTAAGTGCCTTCCATCTGCTACAGTAGAGGAGGATTAAACTTAATTCATCAGATGAATCTTGATAGCAGTAGGATTCATTTTGTTCATGGATATGATGGAAGAGCTTAAACAGCTGCATTACAAGTAGCTTTATGTATTAAAGCTTTGTTGGAGCTCTCAATGCCTTGTTTAAAACAAAACTAAACAAAGCAGATTGCTAATTGAAATTCGTGTTCAAACTGTGGCTGATAAATAAGCAGATGGAGCAGTCAACATTACTGGAAAGAAAAAGGGACAATATAGGACAGAGAAGTGAGTAAAAACAAAAATACGCCTACATCAGCCAAACAAAGTGAGAGAAGGGCAAGCAAGGTACTGCAAGGCTTTGAATTGCACCCAGACACGATGTGAGTGCTCAGTCCCGCTCAGACTCCTCTATTTAAAGCACTGCTGTTCCCACCAGCGTGGTGTCTGAGCTCCTCCAGCCTTTTTCAATCCTGCACAAGACTCCCAAAGTGTGAACACGAGCAGATGCAGTGAGAGCTGCCCCTGCTCTGCGCTAGCTCCAGCCTTTGATAGTAAAAGGGTTTTAAAATCACGGGCATTTAGGGTTAAAAGGAAAATTAAGCTTAGGAGACCCTGAAAAAAAAAAAATACCCTAGGTACATGAAGGCCTCGTTCCTTGCTAGAACTGCACCTGTGTAGCTAGTACATGATAAATGATATACCTGTTAGATGTGATGATTGTTTAGTCATTAAATATAATTACTGTTTAATTGTAAGAATAATAATGAGAAACTGTGGTCAGGGGCTCAAGAAAGATCACGAGAAGCTCATGTCAATGTATACAATAGAACAATATAAGTTTAATAATTAATATGTAATTTATATAACGATAGAATATAAAATATGTTCAGCTTGAAAGCCATGTGGGAGTCAGATTTGGGTCTGTACCCCTGCTTCCCAGAGCTCTCAATAAAAGCACCTGCAGATAATCATATCCCGTGGTTATGTGTGTTCCTGAGTGCTGACACTTTCCCTCTGCAGCAGAGCCACCAGGGCTGCTCCATGGCCACAGCTGCCCGGTGGTGGCACTTGGTCACTGATCTTTTGACCTCTACTCCAAAATATCACAAAATCAGTTTCCCAGTCCCAGAACTACTCCAATCCAGTGCTACCCAGCAGAAACACAGGGAATAGCTGCATTTGGGAATATTCTGTTCTCTTGCTGTCACTGCAGCCCTGGCAGCAGACACTGCTCGTCCTTGGGGTGCCCCATCCACTTGCTGCTGCCACAGGACAGCTCTGAGCCTTCCCTTTGGATGTGTTTTAGTTTCTCCTCAGAGCAGTTTCACATTTAGATTGCTCACACGTTGGCAAGCTGGATCGTTACCATTCGCTCCAGACAGGGGCTGCCACTGCCTTCCCTTTGGAGGAGAAAAGGATTGAGGTCTTCTCATGGAGCCTCAGCTTTGACGTGGATCTGGTGGATTTCTGGGGGCTTTATCCTTTCCACTGCTGAAAACACTAAAGCCAGGCAGTTGAGAGGGAGCAGCACATGGCCTTGGGCAAGAGGGGACAGAGCAGCTTTTCAGAAGCAGAATCATTCCCAAATGCAGAACCAGAGGGTTCATGCAGCTCTTGTTCCCACACCTGAGCAAAACCTCTCCAAACTTCCTCAGCCCAGGTGATGCTGCTGAATAAAATCAGTGTGCAATACCCTGCAGGGCTGCAGGGCTCCAAGGGCCAGTCTCACCACATCAAAGTGGTCCTACAGCATTGCTTAGGAAGAAATTGTTCCTTTTGGAGGTGGAGATGCCCTGGCACAGGGTGTCCAGAGAAGCTGTGGCTGCCCCATCCCTGCAAGTGTTTGAGATCAGCTGGAAAGGCCTTGGAGCAACCTGGGCTGGTGGAAGGTGTCCCTGCTCACAGGGTGGTAGGACGGGGTGATCTTTATGGACCTCCTAACCCAAACCATTGGTGGTGAAGCCCCATCCCTGGAGGTGTCCAGGAAAGGCCTGGATGTGGCACTCAGTGCTCTGGGCTGGTGACAAGGTTGGACTTGATGATCATGGAGGTCTTTTCCAACCTCAGTGACTCTGTGATGATTTGGAATGGGAACTCTGCCAGGGGGGAGTTGGCAGCAAGTGCTCAGGGCAGAGGATCAGTGCCAGGTACAGACAGCATCACCTACAAACATCCTCTGGAGACAAGATTCATGGACACTGTAAGTCCACAATAATTCGTGGGACAGCTCCTGGCTGAACTGAACCTCTGGTAATGGTGAGGACCTGACAGACACCAGCACAGGGACCTCAGCACCACTCACAGTGGAGAGCTCCAGAGCAGTCAGGCACTGCTCATTCCCAGCTTTCAGCTCCACCACCTGCCTTGCCCAGCAGAGTCTCTCAAGGCCAGTGGGAGCCCTAAAGGTGTTATTCTTGTGAGTTTTTAAATCATCCTCACAGCACAAAATAATCCGACGCGTTTGCTAAGTGCCACCTGAATAAATTGCCTAACCTTTCCGCTTTAATCCGCTGTAATCACTTTCCAGAGGCACTCTTTGAAAAGTGAGCTCCGTGTTTCCAGAGCAGCTGTGCTCCTAATTAAAAGGCACTGTAGCAAGAAGCCAGCAAAACCTAATTCTGCTTGGAAATGCCTTGCTGCAGTTGGAGGACTGAGGTGAACTGTGAGGAGGGCCAGGGAGGAAGCAGCAGCTGCCTGTGCTGCTTAAGACAGTATTAGGAGAGGGCTGGCACTGGGGCTGCCTCTTGGCTAAATCCCTGTTAGGCAGATTGGCTCCCAATCCTCTGCCCTGGCCAGGCTGGTTTGCACAGCTTGGACACGGGCAGGAATCAGCTGAGTGCTGCAGCTGAGTGCTCACAGGAGGAGCCAGAGCAGAGGGAAAAGCATCCAGAGGGTTTTCCAGCAGAACTCCTGGGTGCTTTGCTTCCAGCACCATTCCTCCTGAATCCAGCACTGTTCAGGCTCACAGGTTCCCCACGGTGCAGGGAGCAGGCTCAGGCTCCATCTCTTCAGCTCCAGCTATAACAGGCAGAAGTTGCATTTGAAGGAAAGCTGTAGGAGCAGTGAGAAATCATCTTTTCAAGGGAGATTTTTTGAGCTCTGCATTATGAGCGTAAACCACTCACAAGAGGAATGTTTCCAACAAATGGAGGTTGCTGTGCTTCATCAGACCGAGTTCAGTTTGACACATCCCAGCTGGGGCAGGTCCTGAAGAGCAGGGTCCAAGCACACAAAGGGAATAGGAAACTCTGACACTCCTTAAATCCTTCTGTATCTGCATATCTACAAATCTCCTAAAGCTCAGGGCCACACTCAGACTGTACCTGAGCAAAGCCAGCCCCAAACAGCTCCATTTGAGTAGGAAATTGGTGGTTTCCATTGAGCAAGAGAACATCAAAGATGAGATTTTTAGTACCAAACTCTAATGTTTCCATGGGGTGGACACCACAGAGTTAATCAGTCATTTAGATAGTGTGGATTAAACACTGAATCAAATCAAACAGACAGCAATAGTTTCACCTGTATTCCCAGCCACATTTTCATTGTAAGCCATTGGAATGCTGTGACACTTACTAAAACCCTAAGTCA